GCGAGGTTGCGTTTGCGATAGTCCCTCCAAAGAACCTCCCGGCTCCGCTCGAATCCCACGCACGAGCCTTGCGCAGACCTTGTGTAGCTGGTGGCCCGCGTTCCCGCTGGGGTTTTTAGGCGGGGGGAACTTCTCTGGACGCCTGAATTCATCAAGCAGTTTGTCCAGCCTGGAAGAGGCTCCTTCTCGTGGCCCGACCTCTTGCTGTTGCCAAGGCCCAATTAAATTTGATCATTTCGAATTAAGTCATGAATCTCATTGTTACAGTATAAAGGTTTAGACTGATTTGTATAAACTTCTCTGCAGCTTCAGGGATGGGGACTGCAAGAAAGAGGAGAAACAGCAGGACTGAGAATTGGTGGTTGAGTGCCACCAACGTAATGCGTAGGTGCTTCTCTTTGCAAAATGGTTTCTAAGAATACAGTCTTCAAAACTACCCTCTACTCAGTGTCTGGGTCAGCTCGGTCATATTTGGCCAGCCTTCAGGAGACAGGCTCATTAACCCGATGCTGGATGTAATAACCATGCTGATAAGCAGCCAAATTAGTGTAGGTCAGAGGGGCTGGGGCTAAGCAGACACTATCCTAACATAAATCCGGACCAGTCGATCGATGTTTCTTCCCTAGGGCGAGTGTGGGAAGGCCTGTCCCCTCTTTGTGGGCTCTTGCGTATTCAAATGTCGACACTAAACCTTCATCATTCCTAGCCCAGATCCAGCCTGGTAGTTTGGGATTCCAGGAAGAGGTGCTGTGGCTGTTTGTTAATAGGAAGGAGCCACATTTACATTAAGGTTCTACCTATAGACTGAACGCTGAGTGATTAGCCGCACAAGCCACCAACTCAACTCATCATAAAGGCCTCTTTTGTGTGACACTGAATTGGTCCTGTAGGTATCTGTAGGTTTAGGTGGAGAAATAATTACCAGAAAACAGACCAAAGAGGAAAAGCGTGTGCTGAGAAGGAATGTGAAGGTTTCCCAAGGACTGATAAATTCTGGAGACTGGTAGTCCTGCTGAATCTGCACAGCTGATAAACTCCGGGCACCAAGTATCTGCTCAGTCTGTGCAAGGCCACAAGTAAATGCTGATATCAACTGCAGGCTGTGTGACTGTAGGGCAGGGGCTCCTACATGCAGACAAAGACTGCAGGATTATGTGTACATCTCTTGAAATAAATGAATTTGAGGGACTTTCTGAACATCTGCTTGGAAGCTGCTAGTGTGTCAGCACAACCCTCTACTGAGTATGCAGCTGGGGTTGTCCTCCAACTGTTGCTCCAGCTGGGTAACTGAGTGATTGTATGAATGAACTATGAGGGAATAAGTGAATGTCGTGTGTATTATCTGCTGTTAGTAGTAACAGCTTCCTAGAGTGAAAACCTTGAGTACTTCTGGCTGTCTCATCCTAAACTCCTGTCACACAGCCAAAGAATTTTTAAGCAAATCAGGGGAATTAATCCCTTCTTTCCATCTTCTCCTAGAGTGCCTCTGTCTTCCTTTTGATTTCTGCATTGGGTCTGCTTTCTTCCTTTTCCTCTACGGTCTTTCTCACAGCTGCAGTAGTCATAGATACAAAACTGGAGCCTGATCTGAAGACTCCCCCAAAAGTGTGAACCTTAAGTAAGGTGAAAGCAACAATTGCCAATATTCATATATCTATATTTGCCTCCACTGGCCCCACTCAGTCTTAGCCATCTCTACATGGCTAATCCACCCATTATTTCTAGCACAGTTTTCTGTCTTCTCTCTCAGGTTCCAGACCAGGTCTTTCTGCTTCTTTCCCATCTGACTGAAGAGAGACATCAGCGTGCTGTTCCAACACCATTTCTGTTTGTTTCTCACAGCTTCCCCACTAGTCTTCTACACAGCCGGTAGAGCTGCAGTAGTTCACTCTGTAGCAAAGGTTATTTCGGGTGCTTTCTCTGAAGCAAAGAGTAGGAGTTGTAGTCAGCATAAATGTTTAATAGGCCCTGAGAGCTAAGACTTTAAGATGAAGCTCCTTTTGAAGCTACATTTACAGCCTCTGCTCTCCCAGGCTTTGTATAATGAAAGCACCCCAGGCCACTGTGGTGTGGTTTTGGCATTCTCTGTAGTTCCCCCAAGCACCTTGGATGGTTGTAAGCTTCAGAACGCCTTGACTCTCACTTCAAACACAGCCTTTGCCTCACCTTCTCTACCTTCTTAATTTCCTGCAAATCCAGAGCTCTGTGCAGGAGCATCTGGCTCTGATCTTTGATACCCTCCCTCAAACACGGTCCCTCCCTCATATTTTTCTCTGCCAAATCAAGCACAAACACCCACAAATTTACTTTCATCATGTTCCACGTACCTGGAGTGGAAAATCACTTGGCTGTAAGTCTGGTGTCCTTGCTTTACATATTCAACATAGGTTAGAAGAAGGGTGCTTGGGAAAGAGTTTGGTTCTCTAAGGTGGTTATAAGACTGAGCTAAAGAAAACGTGCTTCCTACATCTTGAGTTTCTCTCAGAGCTGTGGTCTGGCTTTTCTAATTGCTACTATCTGCCTGTGCACAGGTGCCGGTGGGGGCTTTTCTCCTTTAATTCACCCTTTTGTGCTAAATGGAAGTCCTAGGTTTTCTGAACTCCTCAAATAATGGTGAATTTTTCATATGAAGAATGGCCATCCTGCCTGCACTGAAGTTCTCCAGAAGCATGGACAACTAGAGAAGGTTTATGTGCAGCTGGAAAAGGTGGTGCTAGTAAAAGGGGAAATACCCAGACATTTTAAATGAAGCTTCCAATAGATGAGAGGTAGCTGATGTATGGCTCTTACAGCTATCACATTTGATCCTCACTGGCCCTAGGCTGCTGCAAAAGGCTTCGGTCGTCTCAAAGCTCAGCAGAGCGAGGAAGGAAGCTATAGAGGCTGCGGAGATTCAAAACCTGTGATTGACGTTACCAGGGCTTCTGGGGCTGAGCCCAGCCTTTCCCATATGAAGCCACATGGCTTCTAGAGAGTCAAGATTGTTTCCTGTTGGTGAGCTCCTCGTGGAGGTTCTTTTCCCTTTGGCTCTGAGCTGTGTCCTGTAACGTGCAGCCCTGTGGAGGTGTTGGGCTGTGGCTGTCAGGATTCAGGAGAGCTGGCCACATCTGCAGTATGTGGCTTGGGGATGTTTGGTATTGAATATTCAATTATTTTATGCAAAGGAGGCTAATTATGAAACTGTTACAGCAACTGCAGCACTGCATGAGAAGTGTAGTACCAGAATATGACACCCAGTAAAGGCTGGGGTCATGAACTAAGTCTCAGAGTAAGACTCTGCAGGGCCTGCAGAACTGCTGAGTTGGACTGGACAAAAGAAGTGCAAGAGATTCCAGAGTTCGGTCTTGATGAAACCCCATCTGAGTCTGCCAGTGAAGGAAGTCAGTAAACCAGCCCTCAGCCCAGCCTGCGGGTTTATGAAGGCAATGGAAACAATGGAGGATCCAAGAAAAAGTGGGGAAGGCATCTGTAGCTCAAGCCTGAGGTCAAAGTTTAAGTACTTGTGCATGCTGTGGGAGCAACACAAACAAACTACATCTGGTGCCTGAGAGAAGATGCAAGAACTGCAGTGGTTTCACCCCTTGAGGAATTTCTATGTGCCTGTGCTCATGGCAGTGATGACAGTAGTATGAAGAATTTTTTGTAATGCCAACATTGTGTAGCAGCCCAAAAAGGGAAGAGAGACACCTGTTTAGTGTGAACAGTATGTGTAAGTTCACATATAAACACGGGTGCAGGAATACCTTTAAGCCTTTTTATTCATACCCCTAAAAAAGGGAACTGGCAAATCCACCTTTCTTGGAGGAGTTAAGAAAATGTAGGGGTCTTGCACAGAAGGATGAAATGATGGATTAAAAGTCATCAACACCCCTGCACAAACAACAAACTGGAAAAGGCACAGATTTGTAATGGTGGAGCATGGGGGCATCTGGTAGACTCAGAAGGTAAAAAGCCCTTTGTCTCATCAGGAGGATGTATTCAATACTTGTACCCATTTGCCTTTGCATTTGAGTTGCAGGGCACCAACACAAGCTAAAATTGAGTATATTCCTGTAGAAAAGGCCTTGGCATTGGGCCATGGCTGTAAAGACTTTTTAAAATCTGTTTGAGAGGCCATGTTAACTAAAACTGATCATAAATCACTTTTTGCCATTGCCAGTGGGGATCTGGCAAACACCTTCCTGCAAACAGAACGTCTCTTTCTTTAGCTACAGTTGTGTAACTTGCAAATTGAATGCGAACCTGAGAAAGATTTAGTAGTTTCAGGCATACTCTCTAGAGCCTTTGACAAAAATGCTGTGGAACAAAGTCCCAGGCTAGATTATGTATATGTCAATTGGGGAAAACAAAACAGAGAAACCAGCCCTGTCGGTTCTCAAATGAAATGCAGAATTTTATTGCTAGTGGTTTGCTGAGGACGAGACACTGCAGGATGTAATTAAGGTTCTACTAGAAAATGATTTGCACAGCTTATTCTGTCCCTGTTTCAGTTTAAAACGATTTAGATACCACTTCTCTGAGGCATGAAGAAAACTGATCCTTGAAGTGTTGCAGAAAAATAAAGATACAGAATGCCATTTAGAGCCTGAAGGCAGTGCGAGACATCTCTGCCTCCCTCAATAGTCAGAAATACAAGTGATGTTAAATGGAGGAGTGCATGCTGGTGGAGAACACTCACCCTCTAGAAGGAA